ATCAATTCCTAATCCAAAATCTTTGAGGAGAGGAGGAAGCATACAAAAAAGGAAGTTGGATCTTATTTAAGTCTTCATTGGTTAAGTTATGCAGTGATTAAAACTTTAAGATTTTCACAAAACAAAAGTTTTCTTTCAGTATGTTATGCATAGATGTTATTATCCATCAGATAGTTTCCTCTTTAAGTCATTGTTCTGATTCTAAAATAGCTGATTAAATACTAGTGCATTTATATCTCAAAGACACAGAGGGCAGTAGTATAGGAAGGAAATCTTTTCAGTAAAGCTTACATAATGAATTTATTATAAGCTCGTCTCCACAACTCCGTGGCTGCAGAAAATGAAAGCCTTTTCCAATGAAGATTTGGTAACCTAGGATTTCAAAGATAGAAGGTCTTAAAAATGCTTTTCTGTAAATTGGTTTCCGACACTTCTGTCCTATATCTTGGAGCTTATGATAAACCTTGGAAAATGCATGGCTTCAAAAGATGTATTCTACTGAAATTATAAAAGGAATATTTTCCAGTGAACCTTATTAGAATTCAACCCATTCTTTGAGAACGTTTGAAAATCCATGGCTTTAGTAATTGCAAACAATACTGCAAAGTGTCGTGTTACTTTGATCTATGCCCAGGAAGGGCGATGGATACAATATGCAAATCCCTGGCTAGTGCTTAACCTGAACCTTCTTTACACACTTATAAGAAAAAACTGCTTTATTCTTTAGTTGACCAATTCAATTAGTCATTCATTAAAGCAGCAACCGCATCAGATCTATTTTTGCTTGTCAAGGATATGCTGCTATGTGTAAGACTAACACTTACAGGTATTTATTACCTCTCAAAGAGATCAAAATTTTCCCCCTGACAATGTTCTCTTCTTTCATTTTCCCAGAAGGCTACTGCCATCTTTATTATGGCATATTACCGAGTCAGCATCTACATCCTGGATTATATTGCTTGCAAATAACCGACTTATGTAAATCTTGGTGCCTGTGCAGTAATCAATATGTTCTGGGCTGTGGTCACATGTTATATTGCCCAGTTCAACCCCCAACCCCTTCCCCATAGCTTCCTTTCACTTTGGGACTTATTGCAAAGTTGCAGTCAGAAATATCCACAGGGAAGAGGAGTTTAAGGAAATGGTTCTTCCTGACAAACAGTAATTGTCACAAATTGTACCACCTAACCCAGGCACAGTCACATGATTGAAGCTCTAAGACTGCTAATCAGGCAGAGCACAGTAACTCTTCTTGGAACAGAAGGTATTGACAAGTCTCATTCTATCTCATATCATAAAATATAAAAAAATTAAGCCTTCTCAAAAAAATAAAGGTAATCTGATGCTGCATTCACACCTCTAATTCCATCACACATCCCAAAAATAAGAGGATAATTCCTCATTTCAGGACAGCGGGCAGAGCCCGACAAATCATTTCCCACTACCACTGTCCTGAAATGAAGAATTATCCTCTAATTTTTGGGATGTGTGATGGAATTAGAGGTGTGAATATGACATCTGATTACCTTATTTTTTAAGAAGGCTTCACTGTGCTATATTGTATATAAAAATGAGGAGTGCTACAGCTTACCATGATGTTTCTATGTATGAATCCCTGTCTGTAACGTGCAGGCTTCAGGTGCGGATACTCCTCTGTGCTGGTGACTTTGATACTCCATATCTTTTTCCAGGCATCATAAAGTTGTATGTGTACTGGGTAGACACCAGAGTGATGGGGTGCCACTGCATATCCCATGTCAGTTGGAATACCATGCTCCTGTAATACAAAATAACATAGGTAATAATCAAAAAGAAAAAAAAAATAACTACATAATGTTCTTGCTTTTGATTCAAATAAGTCCTAGAAGGATTCTTAGCAACTCTAGGGGGACACGAGTATAAATTACACTTACCTCCCTGCATTCTTAATCAGCTATGGCCCGTAATTCTACCCATGCACTCCAGTTCTATTTCAGTTGTGGCAGGCCACCCTGTAGAAGTTCATGGGGTACTCCCCAAAATGCAACAGAGCAATGTGAAGACTGGAATCACAAAGCACAAGTCAACATGGAGAGCCAAGCTTTTAAAGGACCATATCTCATCAAGGATTTTAAAGACGAAATACACTGACCTACACTCCACTGCTGCTTATTTTTTCTAAAATCTGTTGTTAAAAAAATAACAAGACTAACAGCAGCAGCAGTCAGCTAATGGCAGATGTAGCTGTAGAATCTCTCCCTTCTGTGCCATCCTGCACCCCTTCAGCTAGTATAGTAAGCTTTAGGCTGGCAGTATGGGAATAAACATTACTGTTGCAGTAACTATCTGCTTAAAACTGTCAATTACATTCTGCTGCTAGTGTTTTCAATTTTGTTAACATGTTCACTTTAAATATTTTAATCAACATATACATTTTTTATTCAATTTCTGAGATTTTAATTACATGTTGGAACACAATTATTTATTCCATTACTCATTTAAAAAGACAATCAAACATGTAGAAACATTTAGATAAATCTGTCATGTTGTTCAATGTCACATTGAAAGTCATATTTTTCTGCCATATGTTAGAATTTAAACCATGCCAAAAAATCATATCTGTGTTAGCCCTCCTGCCCCAGATGGAGACCAGCTCTTGAACTTCAAAAGATAAGCAGAGGTAAGCACATAACTGAACCATAGATATAGACAATATGTTTAAACATTACGTTCTGATTCTTTGTTTTTTAACTCACTGTTTGTAACAGAATAAAATATGTGATTTTTCTTGTATATAGCAGAATGTATTTCCACACCCTTTAAGTTGCCTACAACAAACTAGCCATTACACATTAGAGATGCTACAGTATATAGCAGTGAATACTGCTGCATCTTACAATAAATATGTTGCAAAACAGAGCAAATGCAAATTTTTATGTTTTATTCTCATATTCTTATATGTTCACTTTTACATTTAACTACATTAATAATTTCCGAAGTATGCAGCATATTTTTTCTACACAACATTAAAATAATTTCTTTGTACAGTAAACAACTACAGTGCCATCATGACCTTCTTTACTACATAACCCCATTACCTCCACCAGACACCAGTCAGTTTAGTTCTACATTGTAAGCATGATATAAGGACCGTGGGCTAGGCATGCAAGACCTCTATTTACTATTTAGTTGTTCAATTTGCTTTATCACCTTCTTGCTTCGATAATTGGTCTTATTTACATGACTGTTAAGTCATGTAATGTAAACTTGGGTATGATTTTGATTTACCCAAGTGCAAAGTCATGTTAAGTGCAATGAAGTGAACATGTGTTCACATCAAACTTCCAGCCATTTGTAGGGGATTGGAAAAAAAGCTTTGTGTTTACATATCTGTAAAAAATAAATCAAGGCAACTGGACTTGCTGTATTTTTCTTAAAGACATTTCACTGGACATCTGACCAGCTTTCTCAATTCAGAATTACTTGTACAAAAATTATCTGGGAATAAATAAGGTGAATGCTGCTCCAATCCACATAATCTGTTAGTCGCAACCAGGTGTTGATTTCATTTGCATAGTTGGAGCTGGGAGGTGATAGTAACCTGCCCAGAGAGAGGTGTTAAAATGGCATTGTATGTGGCAGACAATAGATCACCCACCACCACCACCTCTATTCAAGCTTGGCATTTCCATTTTTACAGTAAAACATCTTCAAGAAAAATACAGCAAGTGCAGTTGCCTGAGAACCTTCACAGTCTTCTTGTTTACATGTTTGGGCTCTGCTGTTAATACAGATGACCTTCACTTCACTTTACATTTTAGAATATCAGACCCAGGTTCACTTTACTTAAACTTGCTTCGCATTGCATCACACTCTAGTAAATAAGGTTCAGTGGGAGTAAATGGAGTAAAGATTGCTCTGAGGATGCCAAGTACATGGTGGAATGCTCTATCTTGTCATCTTTTATATTGACTCAAATGTCCCCTGGGCATATTTCAGGGGGTTTGACTGTGTTATTTTTCTAGGTTTACTATGGGATTCCATGTTACTACAACTGCATGCATGGCATTACAAATATGATGACAATATCACCTTGCAAAAACAGTGTGGCTATGCTTGGTTGATTGGATCTGTATGAATGGAAGGACTTTCATTATGACCATCTGAAAATATGAGATTGCAAAGTACTTACTATTTATCAACTGCAAACCCTGCTATACCTGCTATTGCATGGACCAGCAATAATGATTGGATTGAACTGTATAAGACTATACCAGTTGTGGTGTAGTTTATTGTATGGTTGGAGCAGTAAACACTTTGTCTATATATCTAAGGAAGAGGTTCACTCAGATGCATTCTATAAAAAGGATTTGCATGATCTTAATGCTGCAGCCTGTATGTATGGGTTTGACAGGATTGTTGATGTTGAATGTTAGCTTCCCACTGCATACAATAAGACAAGTTATTAGTCACATTAAACTGCCCTACTGATCAAGCTGGCAATTGTGAATTCTACTAATTCTACAGAGCATTGATTATAAATTGTGCAATTACATCTGGATTGCAAACCTGGGATATTGTCAACTATTTTGCAAGATTAATGTACATTAAAAAGATATGTTTTGTATATCAAAAAATATATAGATGAGCATTGGATCCACATTCAAGACTAATGTAATAAATAAAATTGTATTTTTATTCTTTTCTAAACAGCATAATGCTAAAATGTATTTCTTAGCCTCCCTTATAATTATTTTCTAATTAACTGTCATGTAATGTGAACTTGGGCATGATTTTGATGAGGTCCTTGTCTGAATCAACATGGGAACAAGGTGCCTTTACAAGAGGGAAGACTTTCACACTCTCACCTTGTAGGGTACCCTCCAATTGTTGAACATGGTTCAGGAGTTGGTGGGGGGACACTGGGTGCCTCCCTTTTTTTGCCACCCAGACAGCATGCCTATATAAGGGCAGTAAAGTACCCACACCATATTTTTTTCCTAAAGGGAAATTACACATTTTTAAATGGCGTGTATAGTCTCTTTAAGGAAACAAAATGGTGTGGGGATCTCATAAAAATTCATAAAAGATTCTTATCCAGGTATGCAGCCTGGGTGGCCAGGAAATCATACGAGGGCACATGTCCTCAATTTTGGGAGGACACCGGGGAAGTTCCTCCCACTGCCCAATAAGTGGAGGCTGAGAAATTCCCTGCACGCAGCTGCACCTAAGCAAAAGGATCAGAATGTTATGACGTCATTGAATTTATATGCCTCATGGCAATATTTGGTCAATGCCTATGATCTAATATGGCCATTTAGCCAAATTAGGTAAAATATATCACCACAAGCATCCCGCCCCTTTGTTTATGTGCAGCTGTGAGGTAGGGAGTGCTCAGGCCTGCAGCTCATTGGGCTGATGGCCCATGTCCCTTCTGGGTTTGTAGGAGCTCATGTTGGGACCAGGTTCCACATCTTGTCTCCAAAAATGGATGTGGACATCTACAAGGGGCTTATTGTAATCTGGAAGCTCCCAATAAGAAAAAGGCCCCCTAGATATCTGCGTCACCTTTGCTATGTAAGTATGGAGTGCATATAACCACTTGTTACTCATTCACACAAAAAAATAATAGTAAATAAAAACAATGACACTATGAAAAAGTTAGTCATCAGAAAAATAAAAAACTATGCCCTCAATTTAAATGTAGTGCCTCACATCATCCAGTGGAGTAGAACCATGTCAATCACAATGATATTCTGACCAGTGATGTTAAACCACTGACATGACAATCTTGATCTGCTGCCGTATGTCAACAGACCAAGTGTTTAGTGACATCATTTATTAAATATGGTCATGACTATTTTAGTTAGTGACATAATCCCTGCCAGCGGGTTTGTTAAGAAACAGATGTTGACGGGGTTCTTTCATTGTGTTCAAACATCAACTGTGGGCTCAGATGGACGAACTGGCCACATATGGCCGCTAACAAGCTGAGTTTGAGTCAAACTTATAATTAACCTGAACCTGAAGCTCATTCCTAAAATAATAAAGTCTAACCACTGTTCAACAATGTTTTTTTTTCCTCTCCTCCACACTGCAACAACAGAAAACTCAAGATCAATGAGCCTTCTTACAAGAAAATCAAGTTTGCAACTTCTTCCATCACCAGTGTTATGAACAAATTCCTCTTTTTTCATAGAGCAGTTATTTCTAAACTAGCAAACTTCTAAAACATTGAAGAGGCTTTCTAAAAAAAAGTTGAGAGAACTATAGCAGATTGATTACAAGATGAAGATGAGGATGAAGTTCATATTACAAGTTATTATGTATGTCACTAATATTACAAAAAACTATGCACATGTAATAATTCTGTTAATTATTTTTCTTTCAGAAACATTCTTATTTCCCTACTTTAAAAATACAGTGATTTTTAATAGATTATATAAAAACGTTAGTAATCAATGAAACCTAAAAAAGAAGATCTTGTAAAAAAAAGAGCAAACTCAATATTGTAACCAACAATTATAAATAAAATAAATTAAAAAAGGGAAAAAAGGTCAACTAACATTTTTCAGTTTTTAAAAACACACTTCTAAATATTTATCTGAAAATTTTTTTTTTGTTTTGGATAGAGTAGGGAAGGGGCGGGTTTTTTTTTGCTGGCTGTGTCCCAATAAGGAGATCTCCTTACTATTTGTTGTGGAGACACAACAGGAATTTAAAGAAAATACTGTATTCAAGTGATGTGGATTCCCACCTTACACAGTTGTCCCCACTACACCTATGGCTTTTGCTCTT